TGTCCCCCCCCCCCCCCCCCGCTCCCCACCCCAGCAGCGCCTGAGCCTCAGCCACTGCCTGCAGGAAGCAGCAGTTGCTGAGGCCAGAGCATGGAGCCCAGCTCCCCGCGCACCACCTATGGTCCCTTCCCCTGCAAGTGGCACGGCCAGAGCAGAGCCCGTGGGGTTGGGGGCTGGGGGAGGATGTAGGCTTCCTGCTGCACGCTTGGAGGCTCCCTGCCCTGCTGCCCTTCCCTTGGGCCTCTGCAGCCCAGCAGGCAGGACCTGGCGCAGGAGACAGTGCTGCACAACAAGCCCATCTGCTGATGCTGCAACCCCATTTGGTGTCGCGATCCACAATTTGGGAACCACTGATCTGGGGGTAAAGTTGCAGTATGCCAGCTTACCCACACAACTGTCACAGTAACCTGCTGTGCATTTTTGATTAGCAGCTCCCCTTTTGAAACCTTCCCCTTGTGCATGTATACCAGATGTAGCATACCCCCAAGCAGCAGAAGCCAACCTTTGTGGCAAGCGTGCCATCAATTAGCCCTGCGTTCTCTGAGTGCCACTCCGATCCCCTTCCCTTGCCCAGCCTGCTGCTCTACGTTGCTTCCTGCCTGATCCGCCACTCTGCTTCCTGCTCCCTTCCTTGTGCTCCCTGCCCAATTTGCTACTTTGCTTTCTGCTCCCTCCTTGATCCGCCGTGTGCCCCACACACAGGCTGCTGGCACCACTTGACACCCAAACTGCAGGTTGGCCGCCCCTGCCCTAAAAGACACTCATGCCTCAACATTTAACATTTTAAACAGACAAGACTGAGACAGAGGTTAAGTGCAGGAAGCGCCATTCTACTTGCTCCACTAGCCCACCAGACACACTGATCAGTGTAGCACGATCCTGCCTTGCTCCCATGGCTGGGCAGAGGCAGGGCAGAGCTTCCCCTGCTGTGACAGACTTCCAGCTGGCAAAATCCTGGCACCCCTCATAGTCGGAGCCTGGGATAGGTGCTCTCCCCACCCTTCACCTACCCTAGCTATGCTACTGATGAGAAGCATAATATTCTTTTTTTTCTTGTCTACCTTTGAGACCTCAAACTAGGCACTTTGCTTTTTGGACAAATAAAACTTTACGAAGAGGCATAAATACAGTAGCATTCCTATATGCTGGGCACTAGCTCTGACAAGTCTATAAATTATGTTCCTTACAACTGGATTGCCAAGAGTGCTCAGCATTGAGCCTCTTTCTAAAGTTATTAAACTCAACAGAAGTTTTACCTTTGGCTTCAATGGAAAGAAAATGAAGTTGAGGGTGACTGCTTTGAAAAATCCCACCTTCAGCTTGAAAAATTATTATACGGTCAATGCAATACTTTCAGACAGTCTAAATCCCCTGCAACCTATCCACTCTGAATATGAAAGCAAATGCTGTACGTGAGGTAGATTCATAGGTAAATAGGTGTCTGAACCGTAAGCCAGTAAGATGGTAAGCAGACTGGCCCTAGCAAGAATTTCTACCCCTTCTTCTAACCACTTTCTATGGCTAATAGATCAGTGCAGGATAAATCTCATGTATAATGACCTAGAGACCCTTTGGCCCCAACTTAATAAGTGGCCTTCCTCCATCTGTTGCTCCATATACCTTATGTATTGAATTCCTTTCAAACATGAAATATTTTTGTCCTCTGTATGTAACGAGACTTTATAAACTCATCCAAAATGTTTAAGTGGTACTATGTTAAAAAGCAGCCATTTTACAAAGTAACAACAATCACCCAATTTTCTAACAAAAATTTGTTCACAGCTATGCTCACAAGCCTAACCCAAAGTAGTTCAGCAACTTTGTCGCACAATCATTTTTTGTTCAGCAAATAAAGCTATTTCCCTTTCGCAAGAAAATTTATGCCAGCCCCTTTACATTTTGTTTTCCTCTCTGCCTGCAACCTCCCTTAATAGTCTACATTTAACAATAAAATATCCCAAATTCCACAAGCAACACTCTGCACTTTATGATAAGATTTCTATTTTGCTACACCACAAATCCTCCTAAATCTCAATCCCTAGCATAATGTCTCCCAGATGTCTCAACTAGTTGCCATGCCAACTAAAGCAGCTTAAATTAAATGAGGGCCTGAGATGGCACCTGCACCACTCCAGGTCTGCTGCGCATTAAATAAAGCTCTCTTGACAGGGGCTCAGAGGTGCCATTAACTTGAACAGCAGCTATCTGATTATTGTCTCTGGATAATTTAATGAGGGTCTCTAAACAAGAGTGAAAGCAGGACTTGCTGGATGTTCCTGTCTTTTACAAATGTGGCAGCCTCTCAAACAGCTGGTGCCCAAGTGGGTCAATGCCTTTGCTCACGAGCGTCCTCTTAATGTTAAGCTAAAATAAAAAGACCACATCTAAAAAATTATGGGATTTCAATGTAGTATTTCAAACAGATATTTGCCTTTTCCTATTTAAATTGATTTATAAACCATGCTGGGAAGGAGGAGGTCACTGCAGCTATATTACACTGCTAAATTGAACATTACCACCAGATAAAAATTGCTACTGACAGCAGTAATTAGTTAAGTAGCTGTACAAAATTAGAACTACAAAATGTACCAATTTGCTTAAGAACAATTATCAAGGAAAATGCACAGCACAACAGAACTCACTTATCCACACTGTCTGGGAAACCCACTGAAATTGGTAACTTTTGCAAGCTGACAAGCAAACAAAAGCCAAGGATACTGCCTCAAATGAACAAGGTACATTTTCTGATGAATCGCCTTAATTTTCATTTATATATAAACATATTTCCTAAGTTACATTTTACAGTGTTTTAATAAGTAAAAAGGTGTCAGAAATACCACATTTCACAAATTGGGGCGAGCGGGGGGGTGGGGGGAGGGAACCCAACATTTTGTGGGCAAGTTATAGGGTAAGCGGATCAGCAAAATTTGAAT